CCCCAGGCCTGGCAGCACCGAGGGAATGTGGGGCAGGTTGTGCCCCCCAGCACTGAGGGGATGGGACGGGGCAGGTGCCCGGCTGCCCAGGGATGGGGCAGCAGCAATCTCCCCCTGCCCGGGCCTCGGCCAGTGCCAGGTACCATGGGGAGGGGATGCCCCATGGCATCCTGGCTGGGGGGGGGGAGCCGCCAGGCAAGGGGCTGCTCCAGGAGCATCCCACTGCCACCAGCTGCCAAGTCCCATCTCAGCCAAGCTGTGAGGCCCCAGGAGGTGGGTTCAGGGACTGGAGATTGTCCAGTAAGCACCAGTTTCGTGACAGAGGTGGTTTGAGCGGTGGAACCAACAGCTGCAAAAGAAACCAAAGGGAAAGGGAGCTGCTTACTGGGCGGGCACCGGGCCACGGGCTCCAGGCCAGGAGAGCAAAGAACCAGAACAAAAAAGGGACCAAAGTGAAGTCTGGACTCGGCCAAAGGAAAATGGGAAAGGGGAAACAAAATAAAATAACCAAAACAGGGTTTATTGGGCTGTCCTGGTCACAGCGGCTGCCATGCAGGTGAAACAGGGAAACGTACAAAGACAGCGGCAAGAGCCGCGCTCCTCCTCAGCCAGCACAAGGCAAGTGCTTCCTGCAGCAGCAGCTCCCTCGTCGCCTGCCCTTGACTACACCTGGCTGTGTGCAGAGGGAGGTGGAGACCCTCGCACCCGCACTCTCGTCCTGTGGCCACGTGCTCCTCCTGTGCCCCCCCCAGGTTTGGCCCAGGTGGCTCCTGTGGGGTCCCTGCCCCACACAGGGGCCTTCCTGCAGCTCCCGAGAGCTGGGGGTCAGCCACATCAGTTGCCCTGGCCCCAAAGCCCGAGAGTTTGCAATAGAGACAGAAAAAAAACAAGAAGAGAAACCAGGATTCTCCTACCCCCAGGGTCGGGAGGGGAGACAGCACCTCACGCTCTCCCATGGATGAGCTGAGCTCCCCCACGCTCCGCCGGGACGTGCCGGAGCCCTGATCCTCTCCACTCGCTTGCCAGCCCTCTGCTCCGGGATACCAAAGGAAAAGAAAAGCAGCCCGGTGGGAGCAGTGGCTGTTTTTTGCCTGGGCCGGCATGTCCGGGCCTCACAGAGTCGACTGCAGGTCAGGATCCACCATGGTCTCGCGGTCTGGAGACTCGATGTAGTTGGCGGCTTCCTGGAGCTTCAGCAGCATGGCCATCTGTGGGGAGAGGAGCGTGGCACCAAGCCCGAGGGAGATGAGAGGTCCAAGGATGCCCTGGGGAAGCCAAGGCCATGAGCCCCTCCTTGCCCTCCCATACAAACCAGGCACCCCAAGAAGCTCCTTAAAGGGTAAAGCAAAGTCCAGAGATGCTGCAAAATCCCTCCCCATCACCAGGATCTGGCCTTGGGCACAGCTGGGATGCTCAAGCACGGCATGCCAAAGCAGTGTGAGGGGACATCTGCTGGCATCACCTGGGGCAGCCTGCTGCCTGCTAGCAGCCTCTCAAGGCGACACACCGGGACACGTATGTGCAAGCCCCAGTCCGTGTATGCCTGCATGCGGCTGTGATGCCTCGTGGAGTCCCATGCTGTGCCTGTTTGCTGGCACATCACAATGTGCCTCAGTGTGCAGCCCTGCCTGCCAGTGCCACCATCCCACACCCACTGCTCCTCCCAGGAGTGCAAAATGTTTCTGCATTCCCAAATCAGGCCTTTTACACTGAAAAATAACGGGGAACGCAAAGCTCCACCATGCTCTCCCCTCTCCACCAGCATGGCCCAGCCCACCTCCCAGTGCCCGGCGCAGCAGGGCTGTACCAGAGGGTCCGAGTCCAGGGAGCTGGGCGTCGTGTCTTTGACGGTGCGCTCCTCGGGAGGGGAAACGGTGCTGTGGGGCCCAATGGTGGGTGGGGGCAGGTGGTACAGCTTGGACTGGTCCTGCTGCGCTGATGGCCAGGGCAGGGTGTCCCGCACCCACTCCACGGGGTCCTCCCAGGCTGCCTTCTGCCCGTGGACCTGCAGGCAGGGAGCAAGCGGCAGCTGCCTCTTCAGCACGTGCCAGAGCTGGCACCACAAGCCCCCCAGGACGGTGCTATGCCCTGCTGCAGCCACAGGGCAGGGCCTGACAGAGATGCCAACTTGCCCAAAAGCCCAGTGCCTCCCCCTCTCCCCGCTCTGTCAGACTGCTGCATCAGCACGTCTCCAAGCACTGCTGGTTTGTGTCCCCGTGTGCAAGGCAGCTCCTGGGTACCTTGAGCCCATCTTTTGCCCCCTCCTGCAGATAAGGGATGATGGAGTTGTTCCACAGGTCGATGAACCAGGTCCGGAAGTCCTCGATTCCAATGGGGCAGGACAGGAAGAAGCAGGGACCTAGTGGGGGGGAAGGTAGAGAGCAGAAATGGGAGCTGGGTCCCCCCACTCCAGTTACTGGCCCTGTGGCAACACAGCGGCAAGGCAGGCAAGCCTGGCTGTACAGGGTGCGCTGGGCTCAACCGCCTCCTGAGAGCGGTGCCCAGGCAGTGCCTGCCTGACACACGCAGGCAGAAAGCAAGATCCCGGGCAAGGAACGGGGCTGCTGTGCTGCATCTACCCCCCAAAAGCATGGCAAAGCAGAGGGAGACCCGCCTGGGACAACAGAGCTCCTCCGTACCCGAGGAGGGGTGCCAGTGAGACAGGCAGCCTTGGCTGATGCCAGTGTTGACAGCTCCCATGGGGCATGGCAACAAATGCCACCCAGGGAAGAGCAACACTTGAGCGTATCATCCATCAGCTTTTGGTTGTGTGGGACTGGGGGACACGGGGCAGCGCATCGGCTCCCCAAGCTCCTTTGGGAGGGTTTTGCCCCAATCCCCGGGGGCCCCCAGTTGTGAGAGGTAGAGGAGGGAGGTGCGTGGCAAGGCTGTACCGATGAGGAAGTCAGAGGTGCTGTGTTTCTCCAGGAAGGTGTGCAAATGGTACCAGAGCTTGGGCACCCAATCCAGCACGCGCAGCAGCTCCTCCTTGTTGGCATTAACGTCTGTGTCTGACTCCAGCAGCTTCCGCCGCAGGTAGCGCACCAGGAAACCATTGGCTGGCTCCACGTTGTTTGAGAAGGTCAGCATCCTGGGGAAAAGACTCAGGCGATCGGGGCTGGAGCTCCGCACAAGCTGCCAAGCTGCCCTGCTCCCCAGCACCCTCAGGGGATCCCCACACTGCATGTGCCCAAGGCTGAGGCATCAGATGTTTCAGGGTGGCAGGGACAGGCCTGAGGCTTGGTCCTCACCAGGGTCCCCAGTCACAGGATGTGCCCCCAGGACTGCCCAGGGGCAGGAGTGATGGACTCCGCCCCTCACCCCCCAGGTATATATGATCCACACCTGAAGCTGAGATGGAGGCCATGGTTTGGGGTCATCTTCACAGGCTGGTTGGTGGTCCCAATGATGTAGGGGCTGAGGAAGTGACAGAGACAGGATCCATGAGAAAAGACAACCTGCATCCCCCCAGCCCATGGCAGAGCTGGTCTGAGCACCGTGGACACACGTGGCCATGCAGCCTCACCTCCACGAGCCCAGGGACCTTGCCAAGAGCAACAGGGAGCACACACATGACCGTGAACCTGCACCAGAGGAGGTGCAAGTGGGGCTCTCACCATTTGTGGTACTTGCAGGTGAGTGCGCCATTGACGAGCTCACTGATGGAGCCCGCCTCGCTGAGGTCATCCAGGAGGATCACCAGCGGCACATCTGCCGTGCCCGTCTCCCGGTCGATCTGGTTGGCCAGGTTGGAGAGGTACAGCTGCAGGTCCTGCAACAAACAGGCCAGGTGCCACACGTGGAGCGGTGGCATGGCTGCCAACAGGGACACCCCCGGCTGCCGTGCGCCCTCACCTTGCAGGACTGCTGGTGCATGTTGAAGGTGCTGACGATGCCCTCGGTGACGTCCCGGCCCGAGCGCTCCACCAGGTACTCGGCCAAGCGGTTGGTCAGGTAGGTCTTGCCGGTGCCACTGGGTCCCGAGAGGATGAGCCGCCGGTGCTTCAGCCGGAGGCTGATGTAATGCTGCATCATGGGCTTGGGGATGAGTGTCTCAAACACCAGGCTGTCCACACACTTCTCCTTCAAGCCTGCAGGGAGGGGAGGGCTGAGGGTCCCGCTCGTGCTCCAGGACACCGTGAGACAGAGGGAAGATGGAATAGTGATGGAGCCTCTCTGCCACACTGACCTTTGAGCGTCACGACGATGCTTGTCAGGCCCCGGCGGCACAGTGGCAGGCCTTGGCGCGCCTCTGTCCAGTGGCAGCTCTGGCGGCTCCGTGTCCAGAACTCGCTTGATGTGGCTGATGCTGTAGCCGTAGACGGACTCAGTGCTGAGACCCAGTGTGGAAGCAGGATCCATCTTGGTGATGTAATCCTACGAGGACAAGGACAGGCTGTCGGTGCCCCTGAGGGCTGGCAGGGAGCAAGCGGTGCTCGGCAGCTCCAGGAGATCCCAGTAAGTACCCGGGCCAAGGAGCATCAGGCATGGTGGAGCAGTGTAAGAGCATGGCTCTCAAAAGCGGGATCCTTGTGCTCCTACCTTGAAGACCTGACAGACAGCCTCATCCAGCATCTTCCAGTCCACCTTCCCGCTCACCTTGGTCCAGCCCAGGAAGAACTCCTGCTGCTTGAGGTCCTAGGAACCAAGGCAGAGGTGTGCAGGTTGGAGCACCATATCCAGTCCCGGACAGGTGTCCTCTGCCCCTCGTCCAGGGCAGGTCAGGCTCCCCATACAGCCCATACTTACTCCCTTGATGATGTGCTGGGGCGGCATGCGCACCACAATCCGCAGCATCAGCTCATCCTTCTGGGTGCCAGCACTGACAGCATCCATGGGGGACATGTCTAGGGATGGAGCAGTGAGGCTGTGCCGGCAGCGAGAGCCAAGCCACCGGGACCAACTGTGCCCAGCCTGAGCCAAATCCTGCTACGGCTGATCGTGGCACCGGCAGCACGACAGATGCCTGTGCACAGCTGCCTCCAGGTGAGCAGCAGCACGTTCCCACCACACACACATCTGTCCCAGCCCTTCCCCGCCTGCCAGTGGCTCCATCACCCCTACCTGCATCCCCCAGGCTGGGGCTGAAGGCATGGCCAAGGGCGAGACCCAGGGAACGCCGTGGTGAAGAGGAGGCCGACATGCTCGTGATGTGTCCAGAAACTGAGCCTGGCACTGCCGAGGGCCCTGGAGCTACTTTAAGCCGGTCGTTCTCCGCCTTCAGGAGATCCACCTCCAGCTAGAGGAGAACCAGTTACAGCACAGGGCGAGGAGCTGGATGCCAGCAGCGTCCCAGGGCTGCAGCACGGTGGTGGGGGTGCAGGGACTGTGGCCACCCAGGTGCTCAGAGCCAGCCGGGCTCCTGGCAGTGGTCCTCACCTGCATGTTGTGCATGGTCTCCCGCAGCTGTTCCAGCTGGTGGGCTGAATTGAGGGCCTCCAGGCGGATGTCTGTAAGCTTCATCTCCTTCTCCCACAGCTCTGACCGCAGCTCCGACACCTCCTTCTTCTCCGGCTCACCCTCGCCGTGGGCCTGGAAGAGCCTGAGCCAAGGGAAAGACAGAATTTTGCATGCATCCAGGACAGGAGCCTGCAGCCCCCGTGACCGGCCCTCCCCACCCTGGCCCCACGTACTCAGCCGTGTCAATGCCCACGGAGGAGGACGTGGAGGATTTGATGGAGGGCGAGGCAGTCTCTGTGGACCCGTGCTGCAGCTTGGGGGAGGAGGGGGCCGACGAGTCCGGCGTGGCAATCTCCTCTATGTCAGAGTAGGATGAGGCTGATTTGGGTCCCTTCTTGATGCTGAAGGCCTTGTTGAAGGAGCTGCGTAGCTATGAGAAAAAGAAATGCTCGTTAGCGACAGCTCAACACTGCAGCCTTGCAAGCAGAGACCTGGCCTGGTCCTGCCTCAGGGGCCCCGTCTGCCCAGGACCCACAGTCTGAGGTGGGACCAGTAACACCATATCCGTCACTAGGCAGGACTGTGCCCTACCACCGCTGCAGGGAAGACACCAGCCTGACCCTGCTCTGCTGGCACAGCTGGCAGAGGGAGGTGCACGTCCCTTTGTGGAACACTCCAGCCCCAGCCTGGACAGAACCAAACAGCCCCATGGAGTAGGGCCCATGTCCTGGTCAGGCTCCCCCCACTCCTGCTCCCACCCAGCACCCACATCGGGTGTTCAGGCACCACACCAGCACCCCGGTCCATCGGGAAGGGCTGACTCCATCCTGACATTCACCCCACTGCAGTCATCCCAACAAGTGGCATTTTGGGGGACATTCCCTCCCAGCCACTGCAGAGTCGGGGTCCCGATGCAAGGGGACAATTTCAGCCCCGCACCTGCCCCTGCCCTGAGGGGTCCTCCTGAAGTACACAGGGCTGGGCCAGCCCCCCGCAAGGTGTCACCGGGGGTCCTGGCCAGGCATGCAGCATGCACACAGCACACAGAGAGCAGCGGGTGGGTGAGCGGCGTGCCAAGGCTGGGGAGGGCGGATGGATGCTGCGCAGGGGCCAAACCAGGTCTGGGTCCCACTTACGCACCTCCAGCCTGCAGGAGAGGAGCAGGACGGGTGCCCCAGGCTCACACCATGTGCCCTGGAGGGCCAGGGCCTGCTCTAGGGGGAGGTGGGAGGCAGAGGGGATGGAGAACCGGCAAGACCTGGCCCAGCTCCTACAGGCACCAGCCAGGCTGGGTTGGGATGTCCCCAAAAGCAAAAGCCGTGCATTGCAGTCTGAAAAAACAGGTCAGGCTCTGCTGATGACAGGAGAGCAGGGGAGCACTCGGACCCGCGTGGGTCCCCACAGGGACAGAGCCACTTGGGGCCACGTCAGGCCAGCCCTAGCAACGCGGAGATGGGCAGCACCATGCCCCGGTGCCACAGGCAGGGCTGCAGTGAGGCCCCCATCCCAAAAGATGTGGCTACATGGAGTCAGGGGAGTGCCTGCCTTCCCCAGGCAAGAAGGAGACTGCCTCAACCATGGGACAGGTCCCCAGCCATGGGACAGGTCCCCAGCCGAGCCCTTCCTGCTGCCTCAGGGCCCCAGCCCCTCGGCATGGGTGCGTATTTTCACCTCAACATCAAAGGAAGCAGCCAAGGCACGCACAGCCCGGCTGGGGGCCCTGGGATGGCCCATGCTGGGGGTTAGTGCCAGTGGGATGGATGGGATGGGTAGTGTTATGAACGCCGTCCCGCAAAATGAAGCGAGGGCCTTGGCCAGGCACAGCATGGGGTGGAGGGGATGGCATAGGACTTACCTCATACACCTGGAAAAAAAGGGTTGAGGTCAGCATAGGGGGAGAGAAACAAAACAAAGCAAGACTTAATCACACATCCAGCTCAGAGCTGCCTGGTGCAGGGAAGGGGCTGCCTGGCCGAGGTGTCTGGCTCCCCACGTGGGCAGAAGGGAGACACATGGGGAAACCACAAGGGAGCAAGCGTGCAGGACCAGGGCTGGAAAACTTCCAAAGGGGCTGGAGAAGTCCCGGATGGCACGTCACGACACAAATCCACAGTGGCTACACGCTCCTCGCCAGTGCTGTCCCCAGGGGACCAACACCACAGTGCCAAGGTAGACCGAGAGCAGCTGGCTTGTGGGACTGGTCTTGGCCAGACCCTGCCAGCGGCTCCCCAAGCCCCGCTCCTGCTCTCAGCACCCCATCCAACCCACCCAGCTCTTCTTCTTCTTCTTCTTGGCATCGGCGTCCTTGCTGCTGCCAATGCTGGAGTGGCTGGTGATGCTGTTGAGGCTGGAGATACTGTCAGAGGAGTTCTGCCGCTTGATGCGCAGCTCTGGGGCCAGCAAGAGAAACAGGAGAGACCGGGAAAGGAGGTATCAGCAAACTGCATCTACCCCAACGCCAGAGACACCTGGACTCTCCTCCCTTCACCCCTTCCCTTCTCCCACCCAAACACCTTCTCTGCTCTCGGAGCCACCTCCTAAGATGACGTGGGGCTCACATCACAGGTGCTGCCATTTGGGACAGTGACCCCAAACCCCAGGGAGATGCCCAGAGCACTCATCATTCTACTCTGTCCCAGGCCACCTCCTTGTGAGCACCTTGCACTCACATTGGGGTTTTGGGGCTAGAAACAGCACTCATGGGACCAAAGCCAAGATCAGCAGCCAAAAACGGGCTGTTGGCAAAGGGCCCAGTGAAGAGGCATCCCAGGGAGAGCGACCATCTCATCACCCTCAGGCACCGGCATCTAGACCTCCTGCAGTGGCAGCTCTGGCTGTCTGACCCTGGCTTCAGAAGTTCAGGGGTCCCAGGTGAGGAAGAGCTGCTGTCCGGGGGACTCTGCCTCCCCTCTGAACATCCCCCTGGAGTGAGGGGTGCCCTGGGGCCCTGTGCTAGCCCCAGCCAGGAGCAGCCCAGCTGGGCTGGGGCTCGGGAAGGGCCGCAAGTCTCCACGGCGGAGGGCTGCCAAGCAATGCCTTACCTTTGGGGGTGACGTCAGTACCATTCAGGGCCCCCTGGATCACAGCTTGAGCCTCTGAGTTCTTCTTCTTCAGAAAGTCGATGGTCTCTCGCAGGTCCAGCAGCTCCGTGTCCTGAGGGAGCAGAGCCAGGAACCATATAGTGCATTCCAGTGGTGCGAGGCCCACCCTGAGAGCACCCTTGGGGCAGGCAGTGCTGCAGCAGGTTCACCTGGAGTCCAGCATTCCCCAGCCCCATGAGCACCCTCCTGCACCACCAGTGCCCCCCCAGTGCCCCCTTGGCACACTGACAGCACCCACCTTCTCCTCAGCGGTCTCAGCCAAGTGCCGCAGGCGGGACGTCATGCTCACCAGGCTCTGCTCAAAAGCTGCCACCAGATTGGCCTGGGAGAGGTGGAGAAATGGGTGAGCACCCATGCCCGGGCAAGCACCCACAGCTGGGCAAGCGCCCGCTGCTGGGTGTGGGATGCAAAGGGCTGGAGAGGGGAAATCAAGACTCTCATGGGTGCAGGCCAGCACCAGCCCCGCACACTGCAGGGACACAGAGCAGTGAGCAGCGGCTCCCACTGGGACTCACGTTAGCAGACAGCTGGGACGTCAGGGTGGCCACCTTCTCCTGCGAGGACTCCAGCTCGCGGCGCAGCTTGCGGATTTGCTGTGGGGAGAGAGTGGAGGGAGTGAGAGGGGCCAGACGCTCATCCTTGCTGCAGTGGCAGGGGCAGGTGATGAGCAGAAGGTGTGGGCTCACCTCAGACTGCATCTTCTCCTCAGCCTGGCGGCGTGAGAACAGAGAGAGACAGACAGAGGCAGGCAGTCAGGAGGGCAGCGAGGCACGGACAGGCTCGGCACGAGGCAGAGGCATGCAGAGAGCCCCCCCGTTCCCACCCGGGCCCCCCCAGCCATGCACAAAGCGGTGCAGCACGGAGGCGGCTCTTACAGAGGAGTAGGTGGAGGACGCGCTCGAGGCCAGGGACAGCACCGATCCATGAACTGCAACAGAATAAAACCCAGCATGTCAGGGTGCCCTTGGCCAGCGGCATCCCCAGGGGCTGCAGGGAGGAGACAGAGGTCCCAGTGGAGGGGGGCTCTGCGGGGGTCCAGGGCAGGCAGCTCAGCACTGCCCGTTTCTCGGCATGTGGCTGGCGACCTCCCCGAGCACATGGCGTGCAGCAGGCTGCGCAAAGCACTCTCCACCTGCGCCCTCCTCTCTGGCTGAGCCCAGGGCCTCTGCCACCCTCCCTGGCTGCTTCGGTCCAGCCCTTCTCGGCGCCACAACACCCTGGGGCCAACCCAGGGACAGCAGGCACCCACGTGGGTCAGGGTGGGCTGTGGCCCAGAGCAGATGCCAACGCAGAGGGGTCCACCAGGCCCCTCGGGGCTGCCATCCCCTGCTCTGATGCTGAGGACGGGATACACCAGCCCATCCAACAGCGCTGCAGCAGGGCCAGGAGGAAGGGACAAGTGTGCGGGGAGGCCCACTGCCCCCACCCGGGAGCCCCCTTCGCCTGGGCAGGAGCGCAGCATACTCTCACCGTCATCCACAGGGTCCCGGAAGGAGCCCGAGCGGATCATGCCCTTGGGCTTGTCAGCCAGGGAGAGGGTGCTGCCCATCTGGGACGTGCTGTACAGCTCGAAGGTGGAGTCGTGGGTGGGGATGCTGTTGGAGCGGGTGATCCGCGGGGTTGCGGCAGCAGTGGGGCTCACTGCAAGGAGAAGGCAGGGGAGAGGCAGGGTCAGAGTCACGCTGGGGACCTGGGATCGGGATGGCGAAGCAGGGCTGGGAGCAATCCACAAGAGCTGGGATGCAGAGAGAAAGCAGGGCTTCTGGTCCCAAAGCCAGGGGGTGCTGGGGGAAAGCTAAACCACAGATTTACACTGCAGAGAGCTGGACACCAGCACCAAAGTAATCACAGGGCTGAGAAACAAATCCATCGTCCTGGGGCAAAGTGGGCACCATCATGCAAGAGGCTGTCACCTCCAGGTCCAGGAGGGGAGCACCTCCTCACCCGCTGCCCCCCACCAGCAGCCCCAGCCCATCTGCCTGGACCCCCCAAACGCTTCAGGAACATGTAGGTCCTGGGAAGGGCAGGGCCGGGCTCACCCCTTGCCCTGCCAGGCACCCCCAGAGGAGTCGGGAGCCATGGGCAGAGCCCTGAGGGTGGATGAGCCACCCTGAAGCAGAGGTGATGGACATCCCTGGCCCCTAGGCACAACCCAGCACCTCGGTGGGCCAGAAGCACCAGGCGCTGGGCGTTAGGGCTGCTGGGGGTGTCGAGGAGAAAAGCAGCATCCAGGGCAGCATCAGCAAGTCACACGGGGAGCACGGGGTGATGGGAAGCAGGAGGGACAAGGCTTGCTGCAAGCAAAGGGGACTGGCAGTGGAGGGCACTGACCGATGCTGGTGAGCGGACCCTTCCCAACCAGCGCCATGGGGAGGGCGGGGGGCGAGGGCAGCTCCTGCTGGTCGTCCGACTCAGGGAGCCCACTGCTGACGGCCTGCGAATGGCGCCGCTCCTTGGCCTCCTCCTGGGAGTGGAGCTGGTACCTGGGGAGCAGAGCAGAGACCGGCATGGTGAGGCGAACCA